GCACAGCTAGCGTATTGTAGAGCTTTATCCTTAATAAAAAACAAACAAACTTTAGTAAATACAATCTACCCCACCTTATGCACCTCAGCTTCACCCCTCCCCCCACCCCCGACTCTTCAGATCTTAGGCAGATGAAATAACCGACGCTATAATAAAAGCACTCAAACGTGCTGTACCAATCAAAACAGTTACAACTTTACCTCTTGGAAACTCTCAGAAGAAATAAAGACACGCCTACTCAACAGACGCTGTGATTGGAGAACATTTATGCTAACTGGCACAGAGGTATGTCTGCGGACTTACAACGCTAGAATCCGGGTTTCCATACCCGTGGTGGGCAGAGCACAGCTAGCCCTTGTGTAGCTTTGTGCATAATTAAAAACAATAAATCAAAAACAATCAATCAAGCTAACCGTATTAAATTTCTGAAACCACTAGTTAACAAAGAAAATAATATTAATTAAAAATTAACAGTTGAATAAATACATCCAAACTTGCTACTCCTTGTGAGTCAAAAACGTCCTGGAATAGATTTAAATATGTTTTAATTAATAACACCACAACTCACACCGCTCAAGAAAAAATGCATATATATTCGTGAGTTAGGTTAAAAACGTTTTTACAAAACACACATCCACTATTTTCTAAAACGTAACTTCTAGTCTAGTCAATAAACATATTTAAAATGACAAAAAATGCTTTTTATCCCACTTTGCCTATTAATACCACCCTCCCTTACCCACACCACACATCTTAGTTCCATTGATAAAACAATCTCGATCCCAGAAATCATTATAAACATTAATTCAGCAAGAAATAAAGATCCAGGAGAAGATCAGACATTTAATCTAGTCTTTAAAAAATCCTTTCAACTTCTCAAGCAACTATGTACATTATTAATTATTCTCCTTCCTTCCAGTTCGTGGCCTGGCTTGATCTGATGGTTAGGGGACACTCAACTCGCAATCTGCGGGCTGTGGGTTTGAATCTTCGTCACCGAACAGGCTCGCCCTTTCAGCCATAGGGGCATTATAATGTAACGATCAATCCCACTATTCGTTGGTAAAAGAGTAGCCCAAGAGATGGCGGTGAGTGGCGTTGACTAGCTTGCTTCCCCTCTAAGTCTTTCACTGCTAAATTAGGGACGGCTAGCACAGATAGCCCTCGAGTATCTTTTCGCAAATTTCAAAACAAACCAAACCAGTTCTTTCGGTTCCTACCCCATAAAGTGAATAATACAATCATCATGCTCATACTCTCCATAAAAATGCTAATATTAATAACCTAGATGATTTCAGGCCAGTTAGTCTCATCAAACCCGCCCCTTTTCTCGAACCACATAATTTATTCAACAAAATTCAAAAATCGTCAAACATCAGACTACGTAAAGTGGGTCTTACCGAAACAATTTTTTAGTTTCGACAAAACTCATTGTGCCATAACTGTTTTCCTAGCTTTTGATTCAGTTTGGTATTACAGTGTTATATACAAATTAACAATATTCAACTTCTCTATTTCGATCACTCGCTGGATTTCTAAATTTCTTTCCAATGGGCAGGTTAATATTAAATATAAGAATTCACTTGTCAACTACTATCACATTTTAGCCGGAGTTCTTCAAGGATCCTCCTATATATTATCTAAGTGAAATATATTCTTTTCCCCAAACTATCCCTGACTAGGCCTCTCAGTGTGCAGGTAATATCGACGTTTGGTCAACTTTGTGAAACCCACTCATTTGGCTGCCAATAAAGTTCAAACGGTGTTTCACAAAATCACCAACTCTACCAAAATATTAACCAATAGAACAATATATATATATATATATATTGTTTGCCACAGAGCACTCACTGATGACTATACGACCATATTGAACTGTTGGTCTTATGTAGTAGGTGTGATTGTTAGGTATGATGAAGGTGACTATACGACCATATTGAACTGTTGGTCTTATGAGGTGTGAATGTATATCAAGGAGGATTCATCGCAATCGCGAACGAGTTTGTTTGTTTGTAAATAAGCACAAGCTACACAATAGGCTATCTGTTCTCTGCCTACCACGAGTATTGAAAGCCGGTTTTTAGCACTGTAAGTCCGGAGACATTCAGCTGTGCCACTAGGGGGCCGCGAGCGAGACACGCAATATCTATGAGAAAGAAATCCGTTGACTATGTTTTTGATAGTTTCTCGGACATGGTATTTCCACTTAACACACGAGCCAAATATAACATTTTATTGACTTTGAGAAAATAAACAGGAGATTTTTATATTATATAATGTTACTTCTGATATTTTTAAAAAATTAATTTCATCATACCTAACATTCACACCTTGTTGGTCTTATGTAGTGTTCAATATGGTTGTATAGTCACCTTCATCATACCTAATCATTATTTCAACTCAATACATTACAAAAGTAACTATATAGAATTGATCTCTCTTATCAGAGAATTCTTTCGCTTACTAGCTACAAATTTTCACCTCAGAGGCTTAGACGATCAACTCGAACTGCCCTAACTGTACAACTTGCCACAACTCCCTCTTCCTGGAAAAAAATACATATCTCCATATAATGTATTTATGGCCACGTAATCATACTGTTGTAATGTGTTTTATTGTTTTACGGGATCTTTTGAATTATTCGATAAAAATAATACCAAGTCCTGTCCACGTAATGATAATGATGCAATTTATTTCTTCAATGGCGTTTTCTATAAGCTTCGTTCACTCGTAGGCCTAACTTCATAATCAGCGTTTCACTAGAACCTCCAAAACTATTGTTTGCCTACTTACTTGCAGAATTTTCTCGCTAAGTGATAGATAAGAAACACACTAACTGATGCTCTGTTTAGCTCACTAACTGAGTCACAGAACTTAATAACTGGCACTGAACCGATCCATTCATTGATTCACTTAATAATAGACTAACTCACAAGTCATTTTTATATTATTACATATTTCCCACTTATACAGAAAACTTCTGGACTCTTAACTTGCATGGAAATATCTAGGTGACGTCATGAAACGCTTCCTCTAGCAACAAACATCTTAATTAAAATATTAAACATATAATTGCGATATTACCTCTGTCCCTCAATATTTCTATATTATATATACATGGACATACACATATAGAATATATGTATTTTAATAATAGCAGCAATTTACAAATGTATAACTATATATGATTGGTCGTATATACAGATAACAATAATAATTGATATAAGTAAAAAAAAAAGTCAGTCTCTGTTTGCACTAAAAGTCTTTTTCAGGACCCTATGAAAAAATAATAACAAACAAACAGACCCTAGTTGTACCAATTGGTTCATTTTAGGACCCCTTTAAATGGGTTAAGTAAAAAGAAAAAAAGCATTTATATTAACAAAAGAAATTTACTGGTCAGTTTACTTTATTCGCGTCGGTTTGATTCTGTGGAAGAACTAAAAATTAGAATATCCCAAAAGATTTCAACAAACGAAGACTTCTGGACTCTTAATTTTGTGAAATGATGGGCATAAGTTGAAAAAATATAAGAATATCTCAAAAAATGAAGTTTTAAGTAGCCACCTATTACAACTACCTCAACACTGACGTCATAACTGATATTTCTCAAGCGAAAATAAGCTATAGCAAGCAGTCACCATATTTTCTTGGTTCTATCGTCTCAAACCACCATAGTACATAAATCTAAGGCAGAGAACTGAACAGAGAAATCTATATGTAATTAGGAATGATGGGAAAGTTATCAGTTCAAGCTTTATTGATCACCGTGAGGTCACACACATTTCATCAAATGGACCACAGGACATATTCTGTGGTCCACATCTGCAGACCACAATGATCTAGTGAATCATAAACGCACATAATTTCCAAGTTATTAGGTTTAAACCACTTAAAATGAAGTCCTACACTTTCCGGTAGTTTCTAGTTATACACATTCATACTTCATTAGTTTAGTCCAGATATACTTATGTGGTCCAATTTTAGTTGTCAGTAAATTTTGGTATTAAAAGCTCAAATACTAATGAAATGTTTAAATTGAAGAAAAGCTTGAATATGATCATTGTTTCTTATACGTATTTTATGTTCCTAGTGTCCATACGTTAGATATTCAAACTTTTCATGGATGTTAGGAAGTTACACTCAGATTACACAGTATATATATCAAATGTAACACAAGTGATGTTCCAGGTGTGCAAAACACGATATGTAGATGATGTTCCAGGTGTGCAAAACACTATATGTAGAGGATGTTCCAGGTGTGGAAAACACGATATGTAGAGGATGTTCCAGGTGTGCAAATCACGATATGTAGATGATGTTCCAGGTGTGGAAAACACGATATGTAGAGGATGTTCCAGGTGTGCAAATCACGATATGTAGATGATGTTCCAGGTGTGCAAATCACGATATGTAGAGGACGTTCCAGGTGTGCAAAACACGATATGTAGATGATGTTCCAGGTGTGCAAAATCACTATATGTAGAGGATGTTCCAGGTGTGCAAAACACTATATGTAGAGGATGTTCCAGGTGTGCAAAACACGATATGTAGATGATGTTCCAGGTGTGCAAAACACTATATGTAGAGGATGTTCCAGGTGTGCAAAACACGATATGTAGATGATGTTCCAGGTGTGCAAATCACGATATGTAGATGAGGTTCCAGGTGTGCAAAACACGATATGTAGACAAAATTTAACTTTAAAGAATGCTCTGTGAATTTCAAACAGCCGCAGGGGTAAAAAAACAACAACAACAACAACCAAATCTATTTGTTTGTGTTTGCAAAATAACGAATTCATTAAGAAACTGTATTACTTGAGAAGTGCATCTTTGTAAATACTTTGTGTGCGTTTGCTTACATATTTTATAAATAAACCCTGGCATAAAAATGATAACATGATTAATTTAAAAAGCAATTATTTATTAACTTAAAGTCGGTGTCTGTCATGGAGTTAGTTAGTGCTTTGATGTTAATTTAGCCCTAAATTTTCTCACCTTAATTGACTCCATCGGTATGCGAGTTTGCTGATGTTTAGAACACAGTTCGTCAGCCATGAATGAAATAAGCTATCGACACATCCTCTCGTCAATTTACTGACTGTTAGTTCCCAGCCTCAATGCTGTTGCTGCTACACAGGGGAAGGGCAGGCTGTAAGTTTCAAATCTTTGCTCGGAAGAGTTTTATACAAAGTGTTGCAACGTCAATACATCTTCACGTCTAGAGATGTTATCAGCTGATGGCTTCTCTGCTAACTTGAGTGATGTTATTGACTGCATGCCCTACCAGACAACAGCCAATACGCATGCTTACCATTTTCGTCACGTTACTGTTTAAGTTGACCACTAGATGGAAGCAGCTTATCACTGTGATTCAATACTCCACTCTACATTTCAAAACAAACGCAAAGACACGCTTCATATATTGTAACTCATTGAAAATACTTCAAATATAAACGAAACAGGACCACGTCTTCATATACTGAGCACTCCAAGTAGTTGTGTTCGATCCCCAGGTATTATGTACGTATTCGATCCCTCGGTATTGTGTACTTCAAGTAGTTGTGGTAAATTCTTAGGCATTGAGAAATTCTAGTAACTATGGTAATTCTCCAGGTGATGATTACTTCTACTAGCTATATTGAGTCTTCAACTATTTAGCACTTCTGCTAAGTGTATTAAGTGTTCAAGTTCTGAGCACTTCTAAAAGCTGTATTAAATTTCCAAACACTGAACACTTCTAGTAAGTAGATTAAATCTCCGGGTACTTATTACTTCAAATAGTTTTAATAATTATCCAAGTAATGAGCACTTCTAGTAAATGCATTAAATCTCCAGGTGTTGCGCACTTCTAATAGCTGTAAATTACCTCCAGCTACTCAGCACTTCTAATATCTGTATTAAATCTTCAAGTACTTAGCACTTAATACTGAGCATTTCTAGTAGTTGCATTAAGTTTCCAGTAACTGGATACTTCTACTAATTATGTTAAGTTTTCAGGTACCTAGAACTTCAATTAGGTGAAATAAATATCCAGCTTCTGAGCACTTCAAGTAACTGTAATAAATCTCCAGTTACTAAGTACTTCAACGAACTGCACAGATCTTCATGTATTATCGGTGTAGTAACCTCAAACTGCCGATTTCATGACATAAAAAGTCTAATAAGCTGTATTTTTAACATATATATATAACGAAATATCAAGAAAAACAACGTACGCAAATAAAAGACAGACAGAATAAACTATGATACATGTAACAATTGGAAAGGTATTCCGCACCATCGTACAATGAGACATATAAAGAAGTAGGATCTATACATTGTTGTGGATACCTCATCTGTCAGATTTAACCTTTATGATACACGTAACAATTGGAAAGGTATTCCGCACCATCGTACAATGAGACATATAAAGAAGTAGGATCTACACATTGTTGTGGATACCTCATCTGTCAGATTTAATTTCGTGTATCATAAAGGTTAAATCTGACAGATGAGGTATCCACAACAATGTGTAGATCCTACTTCTTTATATGTCTCATTGTACGATGGTACAGAATACCTTTCCAATTGTTTCGTGTATCATAAAGGTTAAATCTGACAGATGAGGTATCCACAACAATGTATAGATCCTACTTCTTTATGTGTTTCATTGTACGATGGTGCGGAATACCTTTCCAATTGTTACGTGTATCATAAAGGCAATTGGAAAGGTATTCTGTACCATCGTACAATGAGACATATAAAGAAGTAGGATCTACACATTGTTGGGGATACCTCATCTCTCAGATTTAACCTCTAGGGACGAGCTTCGAATGTGTAATAAAACAATAACTAAAGGTTGAACTCTTTTTTTTTATACTAGGAACACATATGGATGCACGAGCCCACAACGTCCCTCATATAAAACTACTGTAACCAGCTCAAGGAAGACAATGAAATATAAAAGCAAGAAAAAAAAGAATTAAAATAAAACTATCACTAGGATCGTTAAGTAAAACTTAGTTGGCCTACCTGACTATATAATGACCACGTGCATTTATGAACAGAATAACTAAATTTAAGACACGTCGGTTACAATTGCTATCATTACAAAAATGAAAATTTCCAAATTCTGACAAAGTAAAAATATACCTTTCCTTCTCACTGATCGAGGTTTTGTTGAAGTATCTCAGTTGTACGAATGATCTTACTTAACTTTCCATGTTGCCTAACACGTGTGTTAGTCATCCAGAGTATAACTTATATACTTAAAGTTATAATTTATATATTTAAAGTTATGATTTATATATTTAAAGTTGTGGTTTATATATTTAAAGTTATAATTTACATATTTAAAGTTATGATTTATATATTTAAAGTTGTGGTTTATATATTTAAAGTTATAATTTATATATTTAAAGTTATGATTTATATATTTAAAGTTGTGATTTATATATTTAAAGTTGTAGTTTATATATTTAAAGTTGTGGTTTAAATATTTAAAGTTGTGGATTATATATTTAAAGTTATAACTTATACATCTAAAGTTATGATTTATATATTTATAGTTATGATCTATATATTTATAGTTATGATTTATATATTTAAAGTTATAATTTATATATTTAAAGTTATGATTTATATATTTAAAGTTATGATTTATATATTTAAAGTTATAATTTATATATTTAAAGTTATGATTTATATATTTAGAATTATGATTTATATATTTAAAGTTATAATTTATATATCTAAAGTTATGATTTATATATTTAAAGTTATAATTTATATATTTAAAGTTATGATTTATATATTTAAAATTATAATTTATATATATTTAAAGTTATGATTTATATCAAATCCTTTCTAATATACATATTTCAGATAGTTTATTTGTTTCAGGATTTCGTGCAAAAGCTACACAAAGTATATCTGCGCTTAACCGTTTGTCCTTAATTTTGAAGTGAATGTCTATAGGGAAGATAGTTTGTCAATAGCTCCCACCGCCAATTTTTAGGCTATTCTAGTCTGATCGAATAGTGGGATTTGACGGAAACTCTTACAGTGCACTAACGACTCCAAAGCAAGCAGCGCGTTCCTGTAGCAACGGATTGTGAACCATAAAACCTCGGGTTCTGGATCCTGACACACTATCTACTAAGTAACACCATGCAGAAAACAGTTGAAGGAAATTTTGTTTCAGAAATTTCGTCATTGTTTTTCTATACATTTGTATTTATATGAATTTTCCAAAAGTCCAAATGTATACAACCAGCTATACGTTTGAAATAATTTTCTCATGAATCCACAGATGACTCAGAGACGTATTGTATAAAATTTGGCAATTTGTTTTTAAGAAATAAAGATGGCTAAGGTAATTATTAATTATATCCACTCGCACAGTAGTTCCAATCGTTCAACCTTCTCCCATGGTGTGAAAAAAAACCATCTTGTAGTTGAAAGAAAAAGAAAGAAAAATTAGTTTCACGGAGTATCAGAGATCAAATGATTTATTATGTGACATCCCAATTGATCAAATAAAAGCTTAAATAATCCCAGATTACCAAAAACAGACAAGATCGCTGCTTTTCTATTGTACTATTCTAATTGTGTACTCATAGTCGAAACAAGCTAATTATCCCGGAGTGTCAAAAATAGGAATGATAATCCTACTTCCACCATAAAGTATCTATTGACCACTCATAGCTGAGACAAAAACACTATTATGATTAAACAGACCAAAGACACAAAGTTTATTAGAGCTATATTGGGGTACTATGGGATTATTGTGACCCCACTTTCTCTGGCCATCCTCCTCATGGAGACAGCCAATAATTTTGTTCTGTGTAGTGTGATTGGAAGTTTCTGATCCTTCATTATCTTGATAATGATGTTAAAAGATGTATCCAACTTCCTCTTGACTTCATGGCATACATGCCAAGACATTATCTTGACAGACACGCCAAGAATATTTTCTCTTGACTTTATGACATACATGCCAATACTTCATCTTAACATTTTGACAGACACACCAAGAATACTTCCTCTTGACTTTATGACATACATGCCAAGACTTCATCTTAACATTTTGACAGACACACCAAGAATACTTCCTCTTGACTTTATGACATACATGCCAAGATTCGTTGTGATAGTCTCTGAATAAAACATATAACTGAAAATTTGCCTTTCTTTTTTATTTTATGGTGCCTTTGTAGCAGGTGAAAGATGATATATTTTACTCTTTGGAAATAAAAAATAATACATTTATCTTTAATCAGAGATATTCAAGTGTTCCACAGTTAATTAAAGTCTTTGTAATCAGGGTATAAATAGTCACAAAGTTCCATTAATCCTCGCCTAGAGTTAAGTGGTTTCCCTTACTTGCATAGTTAATTAAGTTAATTAAAGTCTTTGTAATCAGGGTATAAATAGTCACAACAGTTCCATTAATCCTCGCCTCGAGTTTAGTGGTTTCACTTACTTGCTTAGTTAATTAAAGTCTTTGTAATCAGGGTATAAATAGTCACAAAGTTCCATTAATCCTCGCCTCGAGTTAAGTGGTTTCACTTACTTGCTTAGTTAATTAAATTAATTAAAGTCTTTGTAATCAGGGTATAAATAGTCACAAAGTCCATTAATCCTCGCCTCGAGTTAAGTGGTTTCCCTCATTTGCTTAGTCATGCTTTTGTAGATCATACTCACGTGGAACATCAGCTTGTTTAAGTTAGTATGAGCTGGGAATTAATTTCCTTGAATATATGAAATGGGAATAATCGCTGATAAAGACAAAATCTAGATGTCATTTTGAGGTGAGGTTGTGTCCTTCTGTTACATCAGCAATATCCTGAGTTTTAACGATAATAATTTAAACGCTGGCGTCACTACGAGCATCACTATGTCCTAGTTGTCTTGAATTTTCTATTTGCTGCTTTTGTTTATTTAATTCTTTCGAAAACAAATATTTTAATTTCAAATTAATGCGATAATTTGTATTTATATGTTGGACATCTGTGAACCTAAATACCATATATTAAGTCTGCAAATTACCATTTTGCTAAAGTGGTCAAGAAATGTGTTTTTTTTTTTTGGGGGGGGGCGTTATTGTAAAGTTGATTATTTGCTCCTTCTGACTCTCTGGTTATTGTAAACTTTATAATAAGTGATAAGGAAGGGTACTTAAATGGACTTATGGTCAACATAAAAAAGTTGTGATTGAGGTTGGAATATGATTGTTTAGTGTAGCAAGAACTAGGAATGGTCTTGTGAAAGGT